GTCGGAATAGCAGTGACTCAAGACTGTATATAATACAAATTAAAAATGAATATCTGCCAATATTTTTAATGTTCTCCTCAAGTATATTTCTCAACATTGCTTTGAATGTTACAAAGAAAATAGTTTTCACTTTCTTTTCTAGCTTTGCATTCACTACATGGGTAAAAGGTTTCCTTAGCAACAGTAATCATATCAAAACACTCTTTTCCCCCATGTGTGTGTGTCTTTGTGTGTCTTTTTGCCTCTCTCTCTGTGTGAGTTACATGTGAGAATTGCTAAACTGGGCATGAAAACCACAAATCAATTGGTTCTGCTGAATTTAAATAGGAACAAGAACCTTAGGAAAGTGTTTTGTTTAGCATTCATGCAAATTCTAATGGTCTAAATATTTAATTGATCTCTTCCTGTTTCTTAAATAATATATTTAACTATTTCTCTTCCTTAGTATTTAATGCAAGTAGAGTAACTGTTCTGCTGTGAAAATTTTACTGTCCCTTGCAAGAAGGGCAATCCAGCAAGAACACTGTGTTCCTGTACCAAATCTATTACTTTCAGTGGGACTTCCATTGCAGTTCTCCCATGTACAGAATATTCTAAATTATTATGCTTAATAATCGGCCCTGTCAGCAAAAGAGGCTACTTTGGTGAGTACTCAATGAAGCCTTTTGTTACAGCAGCACCCTAATTATTGAAACTCCTTCCCAAGAGAGGTTAGATTAGCTGGAGCTTGTTCTATTAATGCTGTCTAATCGCCTATATTACCCTATAGTGTGGCTCTCTAATTTTATTGTCATTATATTTTTTTAAGGAAGCAGGTGTGTTTACCTAATTCTTACTTTAGTCATATTGCAGATTAACTAAGGTCCTGGTACCAAAATGTGTGGTTAATGCATCTATTAATTAATTACCCGGCTTTGCAAATCAAATTAATACACTCTTGCAGAGGTAGAAACATGTAACTTATTCAGTATTAACTGAAAGCCTATTGTGGATTTAATTAGTACAAGGAATGCATTAAAAAAAAAAGCAATGTTCCAGATTTCAGGAGTTTATTTCATGCAGGATATCAAACAAGTAACAAATATATGAGTTAAAAAGCTGCATCGGAATAAGATTTTAAGAGCACCTTCTCTGTTTTTATTTTTCCTTTCTTACGGAAAAGAATTTCTCCTTCTAAAAACTTTGTTTGTAAGCCCCAATGGGAATCTTTTGGAAAAATAGCACAGAAGAATATAAAAATATGATTAATCTTACTCCTATGCATGTTTACATAAAAGTAATCCCTTATGATTACATGCAAGTCAGAACAGAAATAAAGATGTCAAAACCAGACAGCTTAAAATATTGAAGACATACAGCTCATATAGCAATGACCAGAGGGACAAGGACATGCTTTTGCACTACATCTTTAGAACCTGGCCATCTACAAGATTCCAATTTTTGACATACTTGCTGTAGTTATCCTTAGCAGATTGAAGAATAATACTAGTGAATAGGTTGTCTCTTTTTCTGATAACCTTTGGCCTTTTCTTTTTTTATGACTGAAACTGCTAGCACCTTTTCAACATAAATCAGTTCTCATTTTGACGGACTCAGATATGAAAGCTAGGATGGCATACCTTGTGGAAGTAAGAGCAGGAAGACTCAATCATGTCAGGGTTGCGCTTATTTCATGAAGTGTCAATTTGTTATATGCAACAGAGTGAATGCAGTTTTTCTGAGGGGGAAGTAAAAAAAAAGACGTCAAGCTATCTTTATTTTTAAAAGACCCAGAAGCCTAGGAAGCAGATAGCCTGGTGGTCTTCTTCTAAATAATAAAATGGGCCACCTGCAAATTTTACAGAAATCCATCATTTCGAAAAGGAGAGAGACTGCTGTTATGGTGGTTTCAAATATACCATAACTGAGCCAGAAATAAATGAGTGGTCTATTTGCACGCAGCTGATTACAGCTGTCTTGGCTGCATGTAAACAGTAGAGACTTTGATTTACAACTATCTCATGACTGCCATCAAGTTTTTGGCCAGATTTTTGCCATCCGGATATGAGAGTGCTAGCAATTGGTAGCATCACACTAGTTTAAAAGCTACTTTGAATTGGCACACAGTCATGTACCAGTGTGAAAAATGTATCTAGTGATATATGATCCAGAATAACATTCCTGAAAATGGTAGATAAACTTTAAGGGGTTGTTTTTTTTCCCCTTTGCATTTTAAAATAACACTTCACAAAGTCCCACCCAATAGACTGCAACTTTTTTTTACCCTAACCTCTATTTCACCTTCCCTTCCCAGCTCTCTTTTTTCTTAATCCTACAAGCCAAAATCTTACCGAGAACTGAGATGATGGTAAGTGCTACTAAAGGACCTTGCATTTTCTCTTCACCTGGAAAGTATACTTGATAAGACTTCCTGCCACGAACAGGGAATTTTAGTTAGAAACTAATGTCCCATCATTAATACAGGGAAATTGTTCTATTTTCTAGCAAGGAAATGGAATGTTAACTCCTCCTGTCCCCCCCGCCCCCACACACACACCTTCAAAGTACTTTCCTCAACTTCCCACCTATCTATCTTTGTGGTAACTTACAAGGAAAAAGGATTTAAAACTAATATGGAATATGAATCGCTTCAAATCAGGACTAAATGCCTTTAGCCTGCTCAAAATGGTTTCAGGTTTTTTCATGAGGGTCAAGTTAGATTTTGAACTCGCCAATCTTCTACTGATTCTAACTTTTTCTTCAGTTCCTAATTTTATTCTCACAAACGTGTTTTTTTTGCACATAAGTCCAGTATGTGGCACAATATGAAAGGTATAAGCCTTGGAAGAGCTTATCATACATGGGCTTCAAGAAGCCCGGCAATCAATAGGAAGCAGCAAATAAATTAATTTTGGTGTTATCTCTTTGTTCCCATCTAACCGTTGTCTAGAGATTTGCAGCTCCAATACTGTAGGATTACAAAGCAGCATAGTTAAATCCAGCTCAATATTTAAGTTGACAGATGAATGGTCTAATCAATTCCTAAAAGCCAGAGCTGAGCAATTCTTTTATTAGTACCAACCAAAATGTCATAAAAGGCTGACAGGAATTACAAGATCAAAGTAGTTTGGGGGGTAGGAAACAGAAAAGTCCAAACATTGGGAAAAGCTTGCACATTTTTGGTCATGCAAGCTACATCCTAGTATTAGACCAAAGATAGAGATTTTAAAGCAAAGACATTAGTAATTCATATCAGTCTGTACCTGACATTCAGAGATAAAAAGAAAAGAAACAGCTGGCCTCCATACCCCCTATCCCATCCTTAAGTTTTCAAAACAAACAAAATTAAATGCATTTAGATTGATGTACTGTCCTGCCTTGGATTATTCCTTGGAAATTCCTTTCAAATGATATGTAGACAAAAATGTTCACACAGTGTCTAGTATTATCTAGTGATTGAAAGGAATATAATTGTTGGAAATGTGCAGTGCCCTTTTCTCTTGTTAATAAAATTAACTTTTATGTCCTGCCCATGGAGCTCAATGTGATTTAGCCTCAGGTAAAGATGCACAGAATTCAAAACTTAATTCTCTATATCTCTCTAATAACACAAACTCTATACGCCTGGAACGAGAGATTCCATTAATTCTGATAAGATTATGGAAACACAAAGTATAAGTTTGAAAAGACATATCTAATCTTTAATACTGCAGGTGCTATTTAACAGCAGTATGTCTTGTATAATGTATGAAAGGACCACATTTTATGAAATATAAGATCTCTCCTGATTAGTTTACTTGTTTACATTCTTTATTTATAAATATAGTTATGAGACTGCTGCTCTTCTGAACCTTCATATTCTTTATAGTATTGTATGTGTGTGTTTTTGTCTTTCCCCTGAAAAATTGTATGTGTGTGTTTTTGTCTTTCCCCCTTAAAAAACATATTTTTAAAAAAATGCAATAGGAACTGTTCCTTGGGACAGTTTTTTGTTCTCAGAAAGCCAATAATATTAATTTAGAAGAGAATTATAAATTCTCTAAAATCCCCTTTGAAAGGAATAAATTAAAGGAAGACATATTAATAATTCTTGTTTACAGTTCACTATTTTATTAAAGGAATATGGCAACATGTCAATACCAGTGTAGTTAAAAGGCAATTATTATCACTCTTACTACAATATTTAAAAAGGCTACCCTGACCTGCCAGCTGAAGTGTTCCCAATATAATTATCCTAAGTTTGCAAACAAACCTGGTAATTTCACTAATTTATCCCTGAAGAGTTGTAGCTACAACTTAATCTTGTTGTGATTGCTTGCAAATCCTATTAGTTCTATGACATCTTTTGGAAAGACACATTTTACTTATCAGCTTCTCTACCATTATTTTTGCAGTATCACCAAACTAGAACTAAGCACCATCTGATTATCTCCTTCTTAATTTGTAGTATTTGACTTCTCAACTATTTTCTACCAGAGAAGTTTACAATCAAGTCTAAACATAGTCTGCTTCGTTAAAAAAAAAAAAAAACAACCAAAAAACTATTCCTGGTTCAAGACTTAAACTAATCTTGCCTATCTCCCAATCTAATAATTAAGTAATCTTTCTTCCTTATTTTGAGTCTTTCACCAATAATTGACAGGGCATAATGTCAGTATGAAATAATACACATAAAAATTGTTTATGTGTACATATAAATATTATGCATATGAATGCAGCAGAATTCGAAATGACTCACATTTTCATATAGTATCATGTTTGATGTTTGGTCTGAGTGTAGTTTTGTTGTTGTTCTACCTCTGCTGATATAGTATTCTTTTCAAAGAAAGCTAGGGTAAAAATATATGCACATCATCCTGCCTGTTTAATCACAAGCAATGTAGCCAAATTTAGTCTTCTGCTTACGGACAATAGATTGTATAGATTGCTGCTATTCCACCTAAACTGAAACAGAACTGAACATACATTTTTAAAAGAGAAAGGTAAAGTTTCTTTTGTCCAGTCATGTTTGGGAAGAGTGGTGCAGTGGCCTAGAGGTGAAGCTTTTGCCTCACAGTCAGGAGTCTGTGAGCTCGATGCTAGGTAGAGGCAGATATTTCTCTCTCTGGGTCAGTGAAAATATATCTGCTGAATAAAAACTCCGCATTGGCAACAGGAAGGGCATTTGGCCAGTAAACACTCACCTCCATTCAGTTTTCCAGACTCCACCTCACAAGGGATTATGGGATCATTGAAAGATGTCTGACTCTAGGGGGCAATGCTCATCTCCATTATCTAGCCGAGAGAGACAGCATTGTCCAAAGATGCTTCTGTGGTAATGTGGCCAGCATGAGCATAAGCCGAGGCGCAGGGAACACTGCTACCTTCTCACCAAAATGATACTTATTTATCTGCTCTCCTTTGCGCGCTTTCAAGCTGCTGGGTGGGCAGGAGCTGAAGCAAGTAACAGGAGCTCACCCTGTTGCACAGTCTCAAACCTTTCCAGCTGACAAGCTCAGCATTTTTAACCACTGAGTAATCGTGCCCCCTTCACACATCTTTAGAGAATAGAATACATTTTACTTAATTTGAGCTTTTAGTTGGAGAAAACAGGTTATTATGTTAATGAGAATTATTTAAGGTAAAGATGCATAAACAATATTTGACGATGCCAGTATTTCAGTAGAAACTATTTAAAGACCTATACTTCTATTGAAGTTGAGCAAGGAAAATGCAAAGCAGCTGTCTGTAGGCAAGTACAAATCAGGCCACCAAATCTCCAGTGTTTTTAATTTTGTCTTCAAGACATATGAAGTCTGAAATACCCTTGAGGCTTAACTATACTGTAGGTCATAATGGAAATTAAACCTTTGATCAGCTAGCAGAAGCTGTGTGAATACTAATTTCATTGGGTAGGTGACTTCTCCAAGATAATTTGTCCATCAGCCATCTTTCATCTAGTTCAAAGGAATTCGCTAATCCCATTAAAAAGGAAAAAAACTGGAAGAGGACAGCCTGATTCCCACAGCACCTAGTGACTGAATATTTGAAAACCTTTTGACCCTGGAGTTTCCTGATCTGGTAAGAGGATGCTAAAATTAAAGTTATATTTCCATTTTGGGGGGAAGGGTCTTTTTTTCCCATGTGTGTCATAAGCTCCAACCAGTTCATTTTTTTTCTGAGAAAAAAGAATTTGGAGACCATAAGAAATTGCAGCACACTTCAAATTAATGCATAGTGCATAATATTTTGAATATCCAACTTTGTTGGAAAGATTTCAGGATAGTTGTGAACTGTCAACCTTGAACCTAAGCACCATTCCTGAGAAACAGCAAATGGGAACACTTTGGTAAAATTTGGCATTTGGGGCTTAGAACTTTTCATATAAGAAATATTTTACATCTTTATATTTTAGAGATCTGACCAAAATGGTTAGGTTTATAATTCTTTTTATTTTGAAAATATATTTAGCAGAGCAGAAAACAACAAAATAAGCAGAAAGGGGTATGTTTTGGTGTCTTTTCAAACTGAAAGTGGTAGGAAACTATGGGATAACTGGTTTTGGCTATTTTGATCAGAGGAGGGCCCAAGAATATAAGTTCCAGCTCTGTCTCAAACTGTACATACGTGGAAAGTAAAGACAAAGGAGAACCCTGATTTACTCATCATACTGGCTTAGTTATAAGGCTTGTTGATGTCCTCAAATACAAGAAAAGCTTTCTTAATTTTCCTTATATGTCATGAGGATAATTGTTCAAAGCAAATTAAATTACTAAGCAATGGAAATATGCAGAGTCCTACCATTGAGATGTCTGCTCCTTTGCCCTCCCTCAGGTTAAAGCAGTAAATGTTAAATAAGATAAAAGTTCTGCTCAGATTCCAGTCTGAAAAGAATAGATTGTTGAGGTTTTTTTTTTATTTAGCTCCCTTTGGAAGTAAACTTTACTGACCCCTCAAGCAAATGGCTATGTCTGAGCCCATTCTATTTTGCCAGAACTACTAGAGAGGCCATTAAAGAGCTTTTGCTTAGTAATACTGTTAAAACTCCAGAGGGTTTTTTTTTTTGAGAGGGAAGAGAAGCTATTTGCCTCCGTTTTTTAAGCAGAGTTGTAATACATTCAGTTCTGCAGGTAAAGCTGTTCAAGGTATTAGAAAAGTTATTAGCATTACTTAATTTGCTGAGATCAAACTACCATTAAAGAAGAGCCCAGGGGTTGATTCAATAGTTTGTGATCTGTCTTCTCAGTTCTGCTCTCTGCCATTTCTGTCAAAAACCAAACTCTTAATATTATCATTGTAAGACAGCATTCTTGATCTTATTTTAATCTCTTATCCAAGTGATATTCAGTTAGCCAGTAATGGACTTGAAGCACAGAGGTTGAGACAGAACTTCACCAAGGAGAAAAGGAACTACTGTTCAGCCCAACTTCCACCATTAAAATAGAGTAAAATAACAGAGTTGGAAGGGACCTCGAAGGTCATCTAGTCCAACACCCTGCTCAAGCAAGAGCTCCTATGCCATTTCTGATTGATGTCAGTCCAATCTTTTTTTAAAAAAAAGCTTCCAGTGATAAAGCTTCCACAACTTCCGAAGGCAAGCTGTTCCATGGCTTGATTGTTCTCGCTGTCAGAAAATTTCTCCTTATTTCTAGGTTGAATCTCTCCTTGATCAGTTTCCATCAATTATTCCTTATCTGGCCTTCAGGTGCTTTAGAAATAACTTGACCCCCTTCTGTCTGTGGCAGCCCCTCAGATATTGGAACACTGCTATCATGTCTCCCCTGGTCATTCTCTTCACTAGACTAGCCATGCCCAGTTCCTGCAACCGTTCTTCGTATGTTTTTGTCTCCAGTCCCCTAATCATCCTGGTTGCTCTTCTCCGTACTTTTTCTAGAATCTCAACATCTTTTTTTGTAGGGTGGTCACCAAAACTGGATGTAGTATTCTTGGTGTGGTCTTACTAAGGCTTTATAAAGTGGCACTTTATAAAAAAAGATGTTGAGACTCTAGAAAAAGTACAGAGAAGAGCAACCAGGATGATTAGGGGATTGGAGACAAAAGATCACATGATCTTGATTGAATTTGAATTCCTCATTAACGAACCTCCTGTTCATTTTTTTTCTTTGCTACTGATTACAATTTTGAAACAGTGCAAGAGAAAACTTGCACGAGAAGTCAATTAATGGCTTTCATATGTTGAAAGAAGCAACAAGGGAACATAGTGAGATTGCAGAGAAGGTTTCCTGAAGTAGGCATGCTCTTCTATATAGATATCAATATGAATATCAAATAGATATCCAAATCAAGAGTATTGTATATACACCCATGCACATACATACATATACACACAGATTCCTTAAAGACATTTAATGGAATTCATTTGAATGAAGTTGAAAAGAAACGTGTTCTGTAGTTTTTAGTTTTCATTCCTCTATTATCTGACCTAACATTTCACCCAATGAAAGTCACGCTGATGTCCTCATATATTAGTTCCATGGTGTGACTTTTAATACCTTCTTACTATTTTCTGACATTTATTATTTCATCCATGCCCATCCCTTACTTTACTGCAGATGTCCTTCAATATCACTTCTCGATTTATCCCCTCCAGAGTCACAAGAAAGTGACTCTGGGCAGAATGCACCACTTGATTAAAAAATACCATAAATACATTAAAACAGCCACAATTAAAAAGAACCATTAAAAAGGCACATAAAAAAAGGAAAGGATTATATTAACCAGAGTAAGGAAGCCATCACAAGACCTGATGGCACAGTCGTATTTTCAGGAACTTGTGGAATATTGAGAGAGATGGACCTAATCTGAACTCCAAGAAGAGAAGATTCCATATGGTGGGAGGCACAACCAAGTAAAGGCCTGCCTCCTGGGACCCACCAGTTGTGATTCCTTGGCTGTTCTGACCCACGCCCTTTTCCAACAAATCAAACACAGTCCAAATAGAACAGAAACCTTGTAATGCTTTTGCAAAATAACTAGCTATAATAAGTACAAGCCTTGCCAAACTGTGCAAGACTTGCCAAAAGATAACAGACAAGAAATAATTTGCAATACAAGAATCTTCAAATACAAACTCAGGATACTGGAACATCCACGAGGCTGGAGTTTCAAAACGTCTTTGCCTTCTGCAAAGTATGTTCGTTTCACAGCTGGCTTTTATCTTCTTGAAGGAGGGGACATTACTTTGCAGCCTTACTCCTGAATCGCCCGTGCTGTTGTAACTGCTCTTTCTTCCAAGCAATCCTACACGCACGTGCGCTTGGCACAGGCTCCTCAGGAACCTCCTCATCACTGCTGCCAGCCCCCACAATCTCTGAAGGCAGCAGTCCACTCCCTAATGGTCCTGGCCCCTCATCTGAGTCCTCGCTCTCCTCAGCCGTCCGCACCTGCTGCCGGCTAACCACAACATTGGCATATAGGACCTCCAACATATTTCTCTCACCACTAAAATACTTCATCCTGCCAACAGCAGCCCTATTCCATACCTCAGCCCCTCAATTCCCAAGAAAGCACATGCTATACTTACTAGCCATACCTGGAAACAAACCAAGCACCTCAACATATTTTAGCTTTGCCAGTTGTCCGTGACATCTATACCCCAGCAACAAATTCACACATAAACATATATAAGGATATCTCCTCTGCTGCTCCCACCAGCAGGCAGGGGGCTTCCTACCTATTCATCCTCCTCCAACTTTCACTAAGGGAGAAAAATCAACATACTCACACATCACCCACATCTAAGACCCCCTACCCTGCTCCATCCACTGGTTGGAAGAGGCTCCCAAACCATTCCTCATCCCACCAAGCCCACTCTGGCTCGTACCCCAAGAAAGGCAAAAAAGGAGGAATGCCACTCAATTCTGAGTGGGAAGTCCACAATCCAACTCCCATGCATGTCACTATTAAATGGGAGCTATGTGTTTCTTCTTCCGTAGGGTTGCAGAGGGGAAAACAGAAAGGCCACTACAGGAGTGGGGAAAGGGTGCTACTCTACTGCAACACTCCGGGGTATCCAGCCACTGTTCACACCTCCAAAGCCTTAGTATCACAATGACAAGCAGAAGACAAAATGAGGGTAAACAGGCAATACCACTGAGCTCCAAAATGTGATAAGTGCATCAAGGGCGGTTCCTCAGTCCACTCCTCAGAGAGGCACAGTAATGGTATTCAGCAGGTTCTGACCAGTTTTAAAGAACTGGTAGCAGAAATGTTGAACAGTTCGGAGAACCGGAAAATACCACCTCTGACTGGCCCTGTCCCCATCTATTCTCTGCCTCCTGAGTCCCAGCTGATCAGCTGGATCTTCTTTTGTTGCCCTGCACAGGAGAACGGAGCTGGAAAGCAGATTAGTGGGGTAGGGAGGGAATGGGATTTTGCAGTATCTTTCCCCTGCCATGCCCACCAAGCCACACCTACCAAGCCCACCACTGGAGAGACAACCCAAGTAATCCTCTGGATTAGTGACTTTGACTTTTGGAAAATGTGTCTTAGAGTCATGTGACACAGTCTTGGAAAATCAGCATTACAAATCATACAGGGAATCCACATGAATCAACATTTTACACAGTGTTCTTTCGATGCCTCACATGCAACCAACCTATACATTCCTAGACAAAGTGTAGCTCCAAGTTCTCACTGATCGCCTTGCCCAAATGTTGTCTGTCATCTTGAGATAGGAAAAACTGAAGTGTGAAGTCTAACTAAGCTTAATGTATAGTAGTTTTTAAAAAACAGCAATATCTCCAAGAAAAGCTAAGGAAGAAGATTCTAGTTTTGGAGTCTTCTAAATTTTTATTTATTTAGAAAATGTATTCGCTGCCCATTTCATATCCTACAACTCTGGGTGGTTAGAACATAAAACATAAATGAAAAAAAGACATTAAAAATGACAGTCATGGCACACAGTAGATAAAATAATTCACAGTTACAAATGATATCTACATGAAGAACCCATCTACTGCATGACTGATGCTAGTTGGGCTCTAACTACCCTAATCTTAAATTCATCACCTCACCATAATAATATAAAGTTCAGGCAATGTGGATTATAATCATTATTTTGTTTGCTCAGTAGCCATCCAGATGTCACTTAGGTGCCCACAAGCAGAGGGACACCACCATATCTCTCACCTTTGTCTCCCTTGATTTCTGTTGTAAGAAGTCACAATTGACTTCAAGCTGATAGTAAACAATTCACAAAACCATCAGCATTCATATTTGTGCTGTCAATCTTTCCCCTCACTTTTAAAGTCATGCAACGTGAACCACAGATTTGCATAAAGACATTACAATAGCAAGTTTATTTTCAGCTCCTTTCCAAATAATTTTTAGCGCGGTCTTTGCCTTTTTCACAGCTACTGCCACACCAAGTTGACATCTGTATCGAGCCATGTACTATGACACCAAGATCTTTTTTCCTGGTTAGTTACAGACAGCTTAGATTCCATCAGTGCATATATGAAATTGAATGGTCTCAATTACATCAGTTTATGTTTACTTTAATTGAAATGCATTTTCCATTTGGTTGACCAAACACCCCATTTAATTAAATTGTTTTGTGCTTCAGAGTCACTTTTGAATTTTACTATTCTGAATAGTTGGGTATTATTTGCAGACTGGCAAATAATACCTGTCCCTGTTTATTCATTAGGCAAGGTATTTTTGAATGTTTAAAACCACTGCTCCAAAATGATTTTTGAGGATATTTTTTTTCCCACCATTGTCTATTTATTCCTCACCTTTCTGCTTTTTAATCATTACTCATCCATAAAAGGACACGTCCCCTTAACTAATATTTATGTTGGGTAACTGCCAGCTAGGCTGGAAGGAGGAGTCAAGTGAGGATCCAGCTTGAAGTAATCATGCAGCCACAAGCAGGATAAGCCTGACTTCCCCCAAGATCCATGAAGCCTTATCTAGTCATTCCCAGGAGAGGGCAAGCAGTTTGGTGAGAGTCTTGTAACGTAGGTGGTAGACAATAATATTATTGCCTTCAGCTGGTCATGAGAGGTTCTAGCTGCTTGCATCGGACAAATTATTACATTTATTCAAGATCCTTCAATGAGGAATTTTTTGAAAGTCCACGCATGCAGTGTTGACAAGTCATCTCAACTATCTGCCTGGTGACATTCTCAGAAAGAAATTCACCCATCAAATATTTCCCCATCTTACTGGGGGGAGATTAGGCTTCCATAGAAAGATTGGGAAGCAATTCTAGCTGTATCTCTTCAGCGTTCATTGCACAAACGTGACTGCCCAAACAGATTGTCAGTCTTCATTTTGTAGATTGTCACCTCAAAATTATCTACTGCTGTTTAACTTTGCCATTTTATAGCAAGTAGATGAGAAGAAGTGACAGACTCTCAGGAGAAATAGAGAAATATGCAGGAAAAGATATAACCAGTCCTTTAAAAAAGCAGCAAAAGTAAAGATGAAAAATTAATCTTTAAGTTAAGTCCCCAGGATACTGAGTTCCTTTTTCAATGACTGGTGGTCCGTGAGAAAATTTTGGTGATCTGCAGAGAAATATCCCTCCCAAAGGACTCCCCCACAAAGCAATTAATACAGGCTGTGTGGGAACACAAAACTGCTCCTCCCACATGGCCTGCCCACGCACTGGTCCCCACCCTTCGGCCGAGCACAAACTTTACCTTGAGTAGAGCCACACGAACTGGAACTGGAACGTAAGACCAATGGCAGGGGAGGGAAATCCACCCCGGGGTGGCTTGCTGATGTTGGTGGGAAAGTTGGTCCCATATTCCAGAGCTGCAGTAATCACAGGACTGGCCCTTTGGTCATCCTGGAGCAGCAGGCCGGTGCACCCGGGTGGAGGAGAAGCTGCTCTGGGATGACCAAAGGGCCAGTCCTGTGACTATTGCAGCTTTGGAATAGGGGACCGACTTTCCCATCCACGTCAACAAGCCACCGTCAGTCAAAATTCATATTAGTGGTCTGCAGGATTTAAAATTATGAGGTCCAAAAGGTTGGCAACCCCTGCCCTATTCAATGATCATCCAGCATAACTTAGTTTCTGTATCAAAGCAAAATAATTGCCTAGTCAACTTTCTTGCTGAAATCAACTTTCCATAAAGGTTTAAAGTCAATCCCTATCTTTTTCATGTCTCCCCCTTAACCCTCAAATATAGAATTTCTCATTAAAGCTCTCTTAGTAACACGATGTCCAAATGCTACTTCAGGACATCCAAATTTGAATAATTTAATAAACAAAAATAAAGATTGCCCAAACTTGCATGATCCATGTCTTCCTGCCATGAGAGTTGATGTAATACTTTTTTAATTTTACAAAGTCAATTAAATTATATATAATGCTTTAATTAATTAATTAGTACATCATGCACTGATATGCCTCATATGAAAAAGTTATCACAACCAGCTTCAGAGGTTCAGTTTTTTGAATTGATGTAACTTAAAACAAAAATATTGTCATGCAATATTTATCCAAAGTTTCAATAATAAAATGCCATTGCTTGGCTTTTTGCCATTCTATTTAAGAAATAAATACAAAATGTAGTCCTATTGAATAAGAAAGAGAAGGATGGAAATTGCAGGTTGCAAATTACAAGTTGACCATATCTGTTATTCTAATTCTAATTAATATGGAAATATGTTTTTATGATTTCTGGTCAGTTTTATATAAATGCTGTCCTGTCCTTTATAGATTGTGTTTAATTATTTTCCTGTTCCACTCTGTATCTGTATCAGTGGTGGGACTAAATTTTATTTTCAATTAGGCGAAAACCACGGGAACCTTCAGAGTCAGTTTTCACCCAATTGTGCCAATATGATATATCCAATAAAGCTATTGTTGGGCTTCGAGTTCACTCAGAGCCTGTCAGCTCCGAATATGCCTCGCGGCAAGTCAGCTGGCCATGTCACCTTATCTCTGCTGCTGCCCGATCTGTATTTATGCTTGTGTGCTGGCCAATGGCTTTGGAATGACTCAGCAGAGCCGAGGATGGATTCTGCAACAACTGCGGAGCTGCAGTATGGATTCTGCAACAACTGTGGGGCTGCTGGAAATGGCTCTTTTCATGTATTGATGTGGTGCATATGGTTAAAGGGGATTGGGGCACATATAGGTGGTAATTAAGACTTAGGTTAAAACATGGTGGGGGTCAGTTAGTGAGGGTCAGAATAGGGTAGGGATGTAGACATGTTATAGGGTTAATAGCATTTAGGGATAATGGGTTAGGCGTGGCCAGAATTAGAACTGCGTATAGGCCTAGGTGTGGTGGGGTGTGTCTCATGATAATGGTGATAAAAGGAAAGGGAGCAAACTCAAACCCAACTCTAAACTTGCCTGGCTTTTAGCCTTTCTTGTCAAGAAGAGTATTTGTTGTTTGCTGAGCTAATGAATAAAGGAGCTGCACTACAAAGGAGCTGAAGTTTGTATTCATTTCAGGACAAATCTTCAATATTCAAGGACTAGCTGAGAGCTATTCTTTGAGGAATCTACCTGCTATGGGTCTATTACTTGGAACCCTGACATTAGTTAAATAAATAAAAACTATATATGTAAAGAAGCCAATGTGATGGCTGATTGTTTAAGATTTTGTTATTGTAGTCTGTGTGCATGTTTTTAAGAGTAAATTAGAATAAATCTGTTTTCTAAATAACAACAGTACAAATTTTATAACCATCTCCCAATTAAGAATGCTTCTGCTGTAAATATTGCACAGTGGCTTTGTGATGACTATCTGAACTACCTGCCATTTTCGTGCTTTTTGAGAAGTTGTCTACTGCACGAGAATAGAGACATATGCTGAAATTTGATAAAGGTCAGTCAGGTCTTTTCATGTAGATTAAAATTGTTGTGTCAAGCAGGAATGTAAGTGTGATGTAAGAAGAAATTTGTCTGTGGACACAAAGGAGGCGGGAATCTTGATGAGATCTGAATTTTAGAATAGGGGTCAGAAAACTCAAGCATTTTCCCATTATTCAAGAGAATAGCTTAATTTGCTGAGCCCAAATGGGAATTTGAGCTGAGTGCATCTGTTACTTGCATCTAGTATCAACCAAATTCTAAGATTTGGAGCCTTGGTCTGCAGTCCTACCCATGCGTATAAGGAAATAATTGGAGTACAATCAAGAGACATATTTCTAAAATAACTTATCTATTTTGGCTTAGATTGATCTGTCAGAATTTTTGGCCTCATTAAAAATTATAACATTCTCACTGAGAACAATACCCTTGGAAAACACAGCAAGGGAAAAATCCACATTGTACAATACGTGAACATCCTGAATGCTAATTTCTCTGTTTCTCTATCTCTATCTTTGTGGTCTGACAATGGTGAATGACAGTGAAAGACAAATAAAGGGTAAAAAGATACTGGAAATCAGGAATTAAAACCTATCAGTGAGTAGGTAATTTTTAAAATCTTTCTCCAGAAACCAAAAGTAAGTAAGTAAGTAAATAACTAAGTCAGGAAGGAAGGAAGGAAGGAAGGGAGGGAGGGAGGGAGGGAGGGAGGGAGGGAGACAGAGACAGAGACAGAGAGGAAGAAAAGGAAGGAAGGAAGGAAGGAAGGAAGGAAGGAAGGAAGGAAGGAAAGAAGGGAAAGAATGAATGAATAAATGAATGAATGAAAGAAAGAAAGAACAAGAGAATTCAAACAATCCTGTAACAATAAAAAGCAATGAAACATAAACACACAAATGCTTCAATTTAAGTTGTATTTTTAAAATTCTTTGTAAACATTTGCTATTCTATATCAATAGGACTTCACAGCAGTCCACAACATCAACAACAAAAAAATACAATCAATAAAGTTTGTTTGCTTGCTTGTTTATTTCATAATAGCATAACAGAATACAGCATCAATGCTTACAATTCACAAAAATCATCATGTAAAATGTGCTGTCAAAATATAAACACCAGTAGAGCAAATTATTTTTAAAATGCATAGTAAAAATAATGAATAAAACCATGAATAAAATTAAATTATGTATGAACAGTTACAAGAGTGGATAAGTCTATGGTTGGATATCTAGATGGTTTAGCCAGTGGACAGCAGTGCCCTCGCGAAGATGTAGTTCTTGCAGGGATCCAGGGATCTTTCTATGGAGGCAGAACCCGTCCCACAGTCAGTTTGTACAGGTAATCTGTGACTTACAACAATTCATTTAGTGACCGTTCAAAGTTACAATGGCACTGAAAATGTGACTTATGACCATTTTTCACAGTTATGATCTTTACAGCATCCCCACGATCACGTAATCAAAATTCAGATGCTGGGCAGCTGGTTCATATTTATGATCATTGCTGTGTCCCAAGGTTGTGTGCTCATATTTTACGACCTTCTCACAAGCAAAGACAGTGGGGAAAGCAGATTCACTTACCAACCGGGCTGCTAACTTATCCATTGCAATGATTCACTTTGTTAGGCATCCAGAATTGTCCATGGTAATCAATCACTCCGAGACAAGTATAATCTCCAACTGATCTATTAGGAACAGCTCTGGTACTTCTGTTGAATTTCCAGACTGAAAGTCATTTTCGGTGCATTTCATAAAATCCACCTTCTCTCCTCCCACTTCATTAATCACAAGAACCAATTAACTGCAGCTGGAATTTTTTAATACGACATACAAAATAACCTTGAACTTTCCAGCTCCTTCACCCCCCCCTTTGCATTCCTTATAACAATGTTGGCAGCTGAATCTCAGAGTTGACACACTTAACACCTGTGGCAAGAAAGGCCATAAAATGGGGCAAATGTCACTTAACAAATGTTTCACTTAACAACAGAAGTTTTGGGCTCAGTTGTGGTTGTAAGTCAAAGACTAGCTGTATAGTGTTATCAACCAGCCCCCATTTGTATTTTCAATATTGGTACCTCTCATGCTTGGTTAGGATCTGGTTGAGTGCTGTCCAGTTTTTTTTTCTTGGAAGATCAAAACCAGAGGGGCAGATCAGACACTAAATTAAAAAAGATTTTGGTTAGAAGTTGCCCATTCCTGACACCATGCTGCCTCGATATCAAAGCCTACTCTGACTAATTGCTGTCTAAGTTTCCAGGACAGGTTCCGAGATTTGAGTCTGAGTATTTGATCGCAACAGTTACAGATAACAGATAATCAGAGTTGGAAGGGACCTTGTAGGTCATCTAGTCCAACCCCCACCCACCCAAGCGGGAGACCCTACACCATTTCTGACAAATGGCAGTCCAATCTCTTTTTGAAGGTCTCAAGTGATGGCGCTCCCACAACTTCTGAGTGCATGGTGTTCCACTGGTTGATTGTTCTCACTGTCAGAAAGTTTCTCCTTATTTCCTAGTTGAATCTCTCCTTGTTCAGTCCTCATATATAGGCAGGGGTGGGCTGCTTCGGCTTTGCAGGGGTTCAGGAGAACCCCTAGCTAAGATGCAGTTCCCCCAACCCCACATCTGGCTAGCCCCACACAGCCCATTTTGGATGTAGGTAAGTGCAGGGCATGCATAGAGGCTTGGAAAGGGCAAATAACCCTGTTCCGGAAGGCTGGAAATGGTTCCTCTGGCTTCCAGAGACCCTCTGGAGACCAAAGAGGGAAAAAAAACACCACCATCTGCCATGGTGCAGGAGGCAGACTAGGCCACACCATGGCCACGCCCACCCAGCAACCAGGCAGAGAACCCTTTGCTAAAATTTTTGAAGCCACCCTGTATATATGTAATGATTGGTTTGCCTACCATTTCTGTCACTCTCTTTTTAAGGCTGATTGTCTTCTGAAGTGTGGAAGTGCTACAGTATGTTAGATAGTACTGGTAGCCATTTGAAAAGCATCAATTGTCATGGTTCCTGATAATAGCCTCATAGTATGATTAAGCTGGGTGTCCACTGCTTTTGTGTGAACACTATTTAACCTCATGGGGCTGCAATATTCAGCCACTGAATATACCAGAGCAAGAGCTGATGTCATAAGAACTGTAGCAGCTGTTCCCCAGCTGTTGCCAGAAAGTTTACGTAGAATATTGTTCCCGGTTTTTATTTTATTCATGGTTTTTCTTAATCTTTTTCTTAATTTTATTTTATCATGGTTCCCTAGAAGTTAAGGACTAGTCAACCTTATACTAAACTGAATACTAAAAATAAAAACAATGGGCTGTTTTCAGAACCAACTGACAATGGATGTCCTGAAAATTGTGGAAAATCCAGGACATGTGGAACTATGTGGAACTATGAGCAGGATTCAAGCTGATATTAATGTGGAAGGTTTGAGCAGGGCTCAAGCTGATATTTACTTAGGCTTATGAATCAGTTGATGTTATCCTACTGCAAGAAACTAATTGCACTGATGAAATCCAACTTCAAAACAGATGTAAATTGCTAGGGTATCAACAAAGAGATACTGTATACATATTTCTGACTACTAATTCTGGGTGGTAAAGAGGTGACCAAATGAATGCTAACTTTTATTAATTAGTGAACATAAGTAAATAAACTGTGCCAAAACATACAGCCTATTCCTATAAATAAGGATGAGCCAGAAAAAGGAAACAAGAATAATAATTAAAGAAATAAATATTTTGAAATAAAAGTTTTTTTTAAAGAAATAGGGAGTTTATAATGCTTTCTTTTAAGTGTAAGAGATAATCAGATAGCCCTTTAAAAAAATTAAAAACAAAAATGATTTTTTTCAAATGGCTTTAACATTAAGAGAAGGGGGTAGCTCTTCATGGACCTTTCCTACAATTCTAAGTGACCTCAATAGAAGACTGCAATCATTGGAGGAGTCTGAACCAATCATAGAAGAGTGTAGGGTTCTCCAAACAAGAATGGAGCTTTCCCACTCCTTTATTTAACCCATTTTAATGTTATCCATTAGGCAACCGATTCAATATAAATGACAGCTCAGTCCACAGTTTGAAAGCATGACTCATAGAGACAGAGGTGACTTATTTAATATTTTATTATCATCTGACATTACAATCAGAACATCAACCTTCAATGCTTATTACACTTAGTGGGAGAAGCCCTGTTGGGTTAATATATCAAGGATTTTCTGCTATTGTGAGGTAATTTTTATGCGTACATAGCTGCTATTTTTAAAATGCAACTCTAGCTTTTTATACTAGCTCTCAAAATAGTTAGTGATCTGTTAGAGGCAGATGTATTAAGATTTTTTTTACTTTCACTTTCTAAATAAGAGATAATGATTATTCCCAAATTAATTTTCATAAATTGTATCAATGGTTTATTGATAAAAAAAAACCCACATGTGGCTTATACAAATCCATCTGTCTTTCTCTTATTAACAATCCATTTGGTAATTAATGGTACATGTAATGCTGAAAGCTTTAATTTGAAAAGTTGATGTGTCCAGTGATGCTGAATTAAACTTATTTTGTGGGCTCTGAGCTTTTATTCAAAATCTATTTATTCATGAATAAATCACACTGAAACAAATGACAGTTCCCATGAAGCATTGAACTTAATCTTTAGTTCAACATGCATGTCACAATTTTTTACACACCCTTTCTTGCAGGAGGAATAAAAATAGTACACTTTCTTATCATGGGAGAAATCTGTACTTTGAGTTTGAACAAGAAAAGACGGCCAATTTTGCAGCTTAGTTTGCAGATAGTTCTTAAATCAGTTACCTGGACTAAATATTACCAAAAAAGGATGATCAGTGCATATCTTTGCTTAAAACTTGGCAAATGTGGGAACAGATAATGTCAGTGGATTTTTTTAAAAATAATTCATTGTATCTAGAATATCACCTTATTTTCCAAAATAATGTGACTCCCTTATCAGTGATTGCATGATTCTATGCCATATTCTAATTAAATAAATAATATGACTTCTTAATTAGAGTTTATATATATTAAATGACTAGATTTAGGGAACTAATAGGAATCAGTTTGCTTTCAGCACTTTGATTCTTCATAGCTACAGATGTTATCCAGAATACACCTGAAAGCTAATTTCCAAAAAAGATAGTAGGACAGAAAATTCACAGTCTAAAAACTTAACTCCTAAGTATTCATTCATAATACTGCTTATTATGAACACTGAAGACGTATGCTGAAATCCTTAGTAGCTTAATAAAGAGCTGTCTTTCTCTGTCTCCTATCCCACATTTTTCAGAAGGACTTTGGTGTTTCAAATAAACTTTTTGGTGATTGAAAGATGGATAGAACTGGGTAGAACATAAGGAATAAACATGGGAATGAACCCAAGAAACAATTTATATCCAGCTATTTATATGATATTTGTTTTAAACCTTTATATTACACACACACACACACACACATACTTGTTATATTATATAGAATATGTACATACCTATAAGAGTGATATATAAATAAATATACTTTTGAAAATAGTCCTGCATTTCTTGCCTAATTACATAGATTAGATATTAAGATCTACATTTGGATGATGAATGTAGGGTAACATTGCCTCCTAACTGATGGGCATCCATGTTGCTGAATGTTTAAATTAAATCTTAAGGAAGGTATGCTTGCATTCTGAACCAGGCTATTTCTTGTTTATATATATTAAATTAAATCTTAAGGAAGGTATGCTTGCATTCTGAACCAGGCTATTTCTTGTTTATATATATATATATATATATAAACAAGAAATATATTATTTATTTATTTATTTATTTATTTATTTATTTCTCCAGTTCTGGTTGTAATCAGAACAGAAAATATCTCTTACTTACATCCTGTAACTTACAGCAGCTTTTCACCTCTGTTCCACCTGGTGTGCAGATACCATTGTCCTCCCGCTGTCCTTTAGAATTTGACAGGTTCCTCTGCTGTTTAACTTTTATACCAATTGACTGGTGATAAATCTCTCTTATCCCCTTACTCTTGTGAGAAAGCTATTTTCATTTTTTCCGTATGTGACTGATGTAGTTATTCTTTCAGCATCTTTGGCAGGAATGAGAAAAAGCCAGAAACTGTCAATTATTTAAAAAAGAAGAACGTTCTTTTAAAAACAAAACAAAACAAGGATTGTAAATTTATAAGTACTTAATTGAACAAGTGTTCCAACTTCCAGGAATAGTTACTGTATCAGAATAGTGCATAAAATCCAAACAGGATAAGCAAAGAAAACATCAAATCTTTTCTACATAAATAACATTATGTTGTAAATACTTTAAAAGCTTTTTCTTTTAGAGGAAAAACATTTTTAACAAAAGTAACATTTTAATTAATTTATGGAACACAAACCTGCTCCTGTTCTAAGACTGCTTCTCTAAGTGCAATGCGTTCAGAATTTCTAAAATCTAAAAGAAATAATGTATTGTTTGGTAAATTTGTATGGTGCATGCTTCCTGGAGATTAACAAAAGTGATAATCAAGATAAATAAAAACCAAGCAATAACGAATATCATACAAGTATTAGCAGAAAAAATAATTAAAAATGTGAAACAAGCTACAAGTCAGCATTAAAATCCAGATGACAGACTCATCAATTCTCCCACTCATCAAAACATATATCTAAACAAGAATAAAGTCAACTTCATATTCTAGTATTAACCTTTTTTTTCTTTTTTCATTAAATTCATGATTGTCCTCGCATGGCAAAAGATCCATCAATATTTAATGCAAAATGCCTCTGAATTTTAGAAGTCATGGGGGGCACCTCCAAACTCAGTGAATGACCATCTTGTGACCAATGACCAATGAACATCAACTGTAATATTCTCCTTGCATCTCTTATTTTCCACTGGCTACTAGAAAATAGTCATATCTCACTTACCGGTAATAGGGGATTGTGACTGAAGATAGGAAACATAACAGCATGAAAAAGGACAACAGAGTCAAGACAAATAAAAGTAAGAGTTAAAGCAATAGGATTTCAAAGAAACTGCACAGGTAGAGCTCTGAGCCAGGGAAGGACATTAAAGAGCTTTAACAAGCTCTGATAGAAGAGTACATGCAGCATATTGATATATCATGTGAACCACATTCCTATACTTCCAATAAATATGCCTTGATTGACAGAGACAGTGAAGAACTGGTGTCTTTTGAAGAAAATGTGCATCTGAAACCTCTTTTATGATACTGATATGGAGCTGGAGGCTAAAAACTTAACCACCAAACAGTGATCTGTATTGATGACTAGCTACTGGCAGCTAACAATAAGACAAACAAGCAGTACATGTTTTGAGCAGTACATGTTGAGATCATATCTCCACAAAGAAAGTATTCAGTTCCATTGTCCAATACAGAATGTTAAAATATCCTGAAACTTACTGACATGGATAGTCTGTTCAAAAAGAGGAAGTATCTTAAGTGGGTGGGCCCTCTTTGAGGCTTCAGGGTTGCCATTAGATGGGAGGAGGAGGAAAATAGTTAACTGGGGTTTTGCAGTCAAAACAAATGGTTTTCCTATAGTAACCAAAGTCATTCCAACATGTAGCTGGGAGAAAAGGCTCAAAGTAACCAAGCAACTGGCCAGGACCTCGATTGGACCATGTGACTGATGACTTGGGGAAAGGGGGAAAATTTTCCCTCTTAATCAGATGAAAACCACAGGAACTTTCAGAGTCGGTTTTCACCAGTTGTGCCAATATGATGTATCCAATCAATGTGTTCTTTGAGGAATCTAACTGCCTCAGAGTTCTGCTTTCTATGGGTGCATTACTTGGAACGCTGACTCTAAGAGAAACCTGACTTAGAAAGAGAGGTGACATTCCATCTATTTGGTCTAAGGATACAAGCTGCTCAAGGTAGGAGTAATTCATATACTTTCTAACTTAATAGAATTAGACTGCAGATTACTGATAATGACACAAACCAGGGCAGATGTTATAATAAAAAAGCATCATTCACTCTCTCTCCCAACTGTTATATTGTCAAATATATACTATGCTGATCTGAGAAAGGTTGAATTTCTCCCTAGTGCATTGGATATAAGAGAGTTGTGCTTAAATACACAACTCTGTCGCTAGTAATTATGGATGACAGATTCAACACTATTAAAGAACTATGAAGGAAAGTTTTACCATTCTTTTAAAAACTAGCTAGAGAGGAGGCAAATCAAACTGTTATAAGGGCTCCATTCTTACTATTAAACCTAACTTTGGAATTGACTATTGTTTTCCTTGAGGATAAAAAATAATAATTCAACTGAGTCCAATGCAAAACTGAATAATGGTTTCAATAATGTATTGTTCATGGGCTTTCTTTTCATTCAAGTCCTATATAAGTCCTATATAAGTTGCATCTCATTTCTGCTATTGCCTTGTTACTTTTAAAATTCATGATCTAAATACCAGTTCACAACTGAAGGGAAAAAAAACCTTATTTATATAATAAGTAAGTACTAAGCTCTGAAATGAATGATCATATCAGAGAAATAGGTACAGATACATAGAAATTGGTACAACCTTGAAGCTTAGTCGAGTTTTCTATTTGTTTTTAAATTCCTGAACCAAGGATGTTGAATATGTGGCTAAACAGCTATATATTATTACACCACATTCATAGTTAACACTTGTATAGATATATGTATATGTATGTGTGAGAGAATGTGTTTGTGTGTATTGCGTGAAAAATGAATTATATTTTAAAATGAAGAATGTGGGAAAATACCCGAACAAAGCTGAATAATATATATATATATATAATCAATTGTACTGTCAGATGTTTTAAAATTTAAGTAAATTGGAGAATTTGATGAGAGCATAACACTTATTCTACGATTAGTCCTTGACTTACAATTAAAACTGAACCCAGAATTTTCACCATAAAGGTGAACAGGTTATCAAGCACCCAAAATGTGATCCCGTGACTGTAGTGTGTGTCCATGCGTGGTTGATGTGACTGTTGGAATCAGGTTGCCAGGACCTTGGTGGGGGTGGGGGTGAGGTCTGTCATGACTTTGAATGTTGCTAGACGACCAGTTGTAAGCTGAGGACTACCTGTAAGAAGGTGTAATACAGCTCTATTTCCTTTACCCCACCCAGATCATGTTGTATGCAGATACTAAAACATTATGGGAAATGAGATTGACTAACTGACTGATTGATTTAATAGCAAAGCCATGATGATCTCAGAGTGATATGTGGGTTGCATTGTCATTGGGCAAATGATGCAGATAGGTAAAGCACACAGCATTACTTGCTACTCCCTTAGACATCCACATTAGAAGAAAGGCACATCACAATGCAGCTGCAACAGATTGCATTGAGATAGCTGGCAGTATTATTTTTCAGGGTAAGAAAACAATACAAGGACCAAAATACTTAAAATTCATTTCAGAGAAAAATGCAGAGGAAGAAGTAATTGAAAGTGGCAAATAAAAGGATCTATTCAAGCCAAATCAATAAAGAGAAAATAACAGTGGCTAATAATTTTCAAAGCATACTCTAGAGGTTCTGCTTCAGTGCTCTGAAAATGGGCCCCTTTCCAGTTCCCTTCCGAACTCTACTTTTAAAATTCACAAATGCCAGCTAAAATTCCAGGAAAGTATCATTTGCTATTTTTGATAATGATGATGATTCCATCATATTTTTCACTTGAGTATTTCAGAAATATTAAATACCTCCATCTCATTCCAGTTATATGAACCTCATTGTTCAGAAAACCTTTCAAGCTAGATTCAGCTCTGCTGAACTTCAGTCTTGATTAGGGCGTTAAGTGTCAGATACTGCCAATAATAACATATCATATTTGACTAGAAAATCCCAAATGGATCTTCCTTGATAACAGCTGTCATGAAGATAAATCTTCTACATTTATGTTATTTCTAGAAAGTACCAAGAGAAAAAGAGTGTCTGGCAGAAATGAAGAGCACAGCAGGAGATATGGCATAAGAAAAGTAGACTTCTTTAATACCATCTCTTGCATTCATATGCCAGTGAAACACAGCCAGAATGATCATTCTTGAAAATAAATAAGATTACAGATTACACAACAGAAATGAAACAGGATGATTGATATATGTCCATTAGCCCAGCCACTGTGTACAAAAGACGTCATACGGAGTTGAACATGACATGGATTGAAACCTTGTTTTGTGAGAATTAGTTCTTACATGAGCATAAAACAAGCTGTCTAATCAATTGCATAGTTCAGATGGCAGAAAGGTACAGCAATGACAATTTCACTATAAATAGCACTTGCTTTTAATATAGAGCAGTTGCTCATTTCATCTCAACCATTTTAACCCAAAGAGGAGTTTTCCTCATCCCTACATGCTAATTTATGAAGAATCATAGACCGTCTATGCAGGGGTGGGATTCAAAAATTTTAACTACTGGTTCTGTGGGCATGGCTTAGGTCATGGGTGTGGCTTAGGTGGTCATGTGACTGGGTGGACATGGCTTGGTGGTCATATTATTGGCCGGGTGTGGCCAACTCAATATCACTCACACCGAGGCATGCATCTCCTCTCATGACTGTGGGGATGCTGCAACTGTCATAAGTGTGAAAAATGGTCATAAGCCACTTTTTTCTGTGCCATTGTAACTTTAAGTGGTCACTCCCCACAAACAAAGTACCAGCAAAGGAGGGGAAAAACACTCCAGAGATGTTCCTGAGACAGGAAGTCTAGTCCTGCCAAAAATGTAATAAGGGTTAATGGAAAGGCAGTTTCTGTAAGCAACACCAGAATGTTTCCTTCCTGCCTTCCTTACAGGATTAGGCCAGTAATTTCTTCTAGCAACCAGTTCTCTGAACTGTTTAGAATGTTAACAACCAGTTATAGCGAATAGGTGCAAACTGGTAGAATCCGATGCCTACATCTATGAAACAATTTAAGACTTTTTTTAAAAAAATGGACTGAAGAAGAAGCTGAAGTTTCCATTCCCATACTTTATGATCTTTTGTTGGGAATCAGTCAAACATCATGGTAGTAGACAAGTACCAGAAGACAGCAGCAGGGATATGTGTAGCAATGGCTGTGACAGCAACATCAGGAAGAAGTGGGAAAAGAACCAGGGCCTGAAGGAGGGACTACAGAGGATATGAAAAATAAAAGGCAAAGTGGTCTGAATTGGTCATAGGAGCACTCAGGCCTGTGCTCCTAAGCTGCAAGAATACCTCCAAAAATACCAGGGACATCAGAACTCTCTGTGCAGAGGAATGCTGTGCTAGGAACTGCCAAGATTCTGCACAGAACTTTCAACTCCCAAACTCCCAGACTTCTAGTAAAGGACCCAAGATTGAGGGAAACACATACCACTCATAGGCAGGGGTGGGCTTCAAAAAATTTAGCAAAGGGTGCTCTGCAAGGGGTGGCCATGGCCATGGTGGGCATGGCCTAATTAGGAAGGGAGAGATGGGGTGGGCAGAGCCAGCCAGGAGTGGGATTTGGGGGTTCTCCAAACAGAATCTTAGCTAGGGGCTCTCCCGAACCCCTGCAAACCCCCAGCAGCCCACACCTGCTCATAGGGGTGAGAAGGGAAGGCAGATCCCATCAGCCAAAGAGTATAAAGCTGATGGGGACTAGAAGATGGGCCTTTTCTGCAGTAGACTTGCTTTGTGAAACATTATCCCGTCTGGTTGTATTCCTGAGTCTGGGGTGCTGAATGTGTTAAGGGCCCTATCTTATTGTTTTAATTGCAGTGCAGTATATCTTTTTTTGAACTGTAACCTACCCAGACTCATTGATCGAAACGGATGTCTATAAAAATGGAATAAATAAATAACCTTTTAGATAAGTAATTATTATGTTAGTTACAAATGAAGTGGGGATAAAATAAATAATTAGGATAAAATAATTAGAATATTACAGTGGGAATTTATTAGTATGGATGTTTAGACTGCATAGCTCTTCCAAACATCTCTTTGACAAATATAAGACCTCGCAGCACCTTCACAAACATAAATATTGTCCCATGATGAATATATTTATACATACATAAACATAAAAATATCAATCCCTTTGTTTCATTTGAGGTATGCAACATGCCCAGAAATAAAACATCAAAAATATTTATATTTGTTTGTTCTACAATATTTATTACTTTGTTTAGTATTATAAGTACTTTTATGCTGCTTCAGTTAAGTGAATTCAAGAGGCTTATAAATAAAACAAAACTGTAATACGTAGCAAATATAGATATAACATAAATTAAACCATAATCCATTCACAGGCAACAATTGTTGTAGTGCTAAACAGAGCCATAGCCATCTTAATTCCTACTTACCGTATTATGTCCTTCTTTTTGAATTCTATATTTTCTGAATATCTTCCACTGTCATGATGTTTGATATCATGAACATACTGATCATACCAAGTTGTACATTTCTTCCTTGAGTGAACCAGTGCTGTCAACTTCCTTTCACAGTTGGAAAGAATCATTATGTTTTCTGTCCCATACCAGTATCTACATCCTGAATGACAAGTGTCAAGATAATCCATTTTTCCAGAACCCTTAATTTCTACCCCCACCATTTCGTCAATACCTTTTCCTCAAAAGTGGAGGTTACAACTGTGTATCCCACTTTATCCAACATCACTTCCTTGAGAAGAAGGACCATTAGGGAACTCTCTGGTATGCCCTCCTCTCACACTGAGATATCCACTATGGGCAGATCCCTGTTCCTTCCCTGGCCATTTATATAAACCTAGTAAGAGAGAAGTCCAATTCCTTTCATTGTGTCCACTTCCTTTGGAATAAGAAAGTCAAACTCTCTGAGGTGGTGTCACAGGGCATTGTGTCATGCCCCTGTTGGAATCTGATTCTGAGGGGGAGGTTGAGCAGCTGACAGGGAATGGGAGTGTGGCTCCAGCGGCTATGAAAGAAACTGGGGAATGGCACAGTTCAGCTGGGCATTCAAAGGAAGACCCAGAGCCACCCATTCTTCATTCAAGGGCATGCAGGGAGGAACGGAGAAGGAAGCAATGTGAGTTACATGGTTTACAAGGGAGGAAAGGGCCCTGATCCCCTTCATTAGCTGCAGCTGGGAAAAGGGGTTAAAAAGGAAAACTACGCACAGTAAAGTTGCTGGAAGCAAAGCATGCATTATCTCTGTTTGTCGAGGCTTATCTGGGTTCTGGTGTCCTCCTAAATGTGGGTGACTTCTCAAAGGGATCAGATAAGAAAAAGAAATGGAACACATCCATTTATTTATTTATTTTATTTTGTCAAGCGATTATAAGATCACAGGTATAAGTATAAACATAGTTATGAATACATGAAATGGATACATATAAGAAAAATAAAAAAGAAACAATAGGACAGGGATGATAGGCACGTTGGTGTGCTAATTCATGCCCCCTATAGACCTCTCAGGAAAGGGGTGAGGAAAAGGGTAACTCTAGACCTAGGGTTAAAGTTTTTGGGGTTTGGGGAAGAAACCACAGAGCCAGGTAGAGTATTCCAGAAATTGACCAGTCTGTTGCTGAAGTCGTATTTCCTGCAATCAAGTTTGGTGTGGCTTACCTTGAGTTTGTATTGATTGTGTGCTCTTGTATTGTTATGGTTGAAGCTGAAGTATTCATTGACAGGTAGGACATTGCAATATATAATTTTAGGTACTATACTTAGATCAGACTGAAGGCGGCATAGTTCTAGGTTGTCTAGGTCTAAAATTTCAAGTCTGGTGGCATAAGGTATTCTGCAATGAGTAGAGGATCGGAGAATTCCTCTTGTGAAATATTTCTGGACTTTCTCAACTGTGTTAATATCAGATACATAATGTGGGTTCCAGATTGATGAGCTCTATTCAAGTATTGGTCTAGCAAATGTTTTGTATGCTCTAGTTAGTAGTGTGATATTACCAGAGAAAAAACACGCAGGATTAGGTTAACAACTCTTAATGCCTTTTTGGCTATGTAGTTATACTGGGGTCTAGCATTTAGATCAGGGGTAGTCAACCTTTTTGTACCTACCACCCACTTTTGTATCTCTGTTAGTAGTAAAATTTTCTCTAACCACCCACCGGTTCCACAATAATGGTGATTTATAAAGTAGAGACAAACACCTACCACCCACCATGAAAGCTGGAACGCCCACTAGTGGGCGGTAGGGACCAGGTTGACTACCACTGATTTAGATCATTAGAGATGAGTACTCCAAGGTCCTTGGCAGAGTTTGGATCATCAACAAGGCCTTGACTATTCAGCTTGTATTTTATTTTCTGATTTATATCAAACTATACCCAAACCTTTCTAGCATTACAAATTGTATTTCCTTCA